TGTATGTATGTATGTATGTATGTATGTATGTATGTATGTATGTATGGTTAGAAGGATTATGTTCAGAACCAAAAAGATAATGGTTATCCAGGTGCGCTGTTGGCTAGTTGAAAGCTGCACCAATGCCCGTCAAGTTTGATTGTCATGTAGCTTGTACGCGGGCTTCGCGGGTTCTGGCCTCAACGCTTTCCCATGCATCTTGGGACTTTGGACGCGGGGGTCTTCTGGCGGCTGCCCTGATCCGTGCAGAACCGGATCTACTTTGAAAGAGCTAGCAGTTGGCAGCTAGCCAAAGAATCCCCCCCGATCACGATGACCAAAGCATGTGAAGGATCAGCTTTTCGGGTGCAATTCTTCAGTTCTTTTGTTTGACATGTGTTGTCATCCATTGTCAGGACTTCTTCACCATTCTTTTTGTTCCCCACAGTCTGCCGGGCCGAGGATTGGATACCACTTGTTCCTGGCGCTTGTGCTTTGGGCAAAGACTCCCATCGGGCACAAGCGACTGGTCTCAGCATGTGAGGGGCACTGTTGGGCCGCGAGGGCAGTCGCGACGAAGGACGGAGGCAGGATGAGGCGCCATGCACACGACTTGTACATGCTGCACTTCTGCTTGTTGGGCGGAACGTGATGGAAGGGAAAGCAACCATCGAAATCGTAAGAATTCTATGTCAGGTGCTTGGGCTTTGTGCCCTGAAAGCCATCGTCAAACTGCCCGCCTGGTAAGCACTGTATCTAGCTGGAGCCGTTTGGAGCGCAGGGTCGAAACCAGCCATTGATGGGTCCATGGGGTGCATGTTGATCACCACAAGCCCTTGTCTTGGCTGTAGCTTCCACATTCAGGTCGAGGGATCTGATCAGGGGACAAACAAGAAGGGAATCATACCAAGATCTTCCTCTTTCTCAGGGCAGAGGAGATTAAGCAAGGGACTCTAATGAAGGCGTTTGGCGACTTCTTATGGAATCAATGAGAGCTGGAAGTTCCAGCACAAAACCGTGCAAAGAAAGACGTTGCTGCTCGTTGCTGCTCAGTTTCCCTGCGGTTTCACCCAAATCGAACGCACTAAGCAAACGTCGCGATGGCGCGAGATCGGGTGGACCTTCAGGGGCGGCTTTTGGGGCTTGTAGATGGTTTGAGACTTCCCATCGCTGAACTTGGACATGCCGTGTAATTCGAATGCCTCACGTGAGGTTCGATTTCACTAGCCCCTCCCAGAGGCCGTTGTTTCTGGCAGGCGACTTGGTTCGGTGGAGTGTGGCTCTGGGTCAACTCACCCTGGTGCACATCTGGACAGAAGCGACCGAACATGACCTTTTTTCGGGATGTGTGTACAGATTCAAAAGCTTCTCAAGCAACCTTTCCTGGATTTTGACATACTGAGCCCCCTCATAAAGGACAAGATCCGATAGATTGTACTGTGGAGGCTTGAATGGGGACAGAGCACGCCGTTCGGCAAAGCAAGTCGCTCGCTCACGGGGTTGTGGCATTCTTCGGGATGCCAAGTCACGAGGCACCGGGTCAATGTGGCACTCTTCCAAATGATGGATTTTTGCTCCACCGGGCAGGCAGAGAATCAGACTCAGAGGGATTTTGGAGGATGGCCTAAATATTGGTGACCTCATCGTCGCGCTCCACATAGCCCCTCATAGTCGAGCGACGTATATTTGGTGTTTGCATGGAAGCGGAGTAGGGGAGCTGGCGCTAAAAAGTCCTGCACTCAAACACTTGCCCTTCCACCTACAGGATTAGTTTGTCAAGCTGGCCTGGTAAACGCATCTCCAGAACCTCGGAAACACCATTCGCGGCTGGGTGTTGGCTTTCGGGTTCTGACATGACACGGGCACGCTGTTTTGGGGACAGGGGCATGGAGGGTAAATATGAAAAATTCACTGAATTCGAGTTCAGTAGGGTCATGAGTCAAGCGCTGTCGGAGGGTTGTCGGGTTGAACGACAGTTGCTCGACATGGTGAGCTGTTTTTCACCAAACCGTCCAGCTGTTCTACCGAGGTTGTACAGCTAAGGCGGACCTGTACAGGTTCCTCTTACGTTTGTTCTCCCCAGAAATCCTGTGGCCACGAATGCCAGTCAAGAAGGGTTTCCCTGTTCGATGGCCGTACAGCTGAGGGCCATGCTTCGCCTTGAGCCCCTTCGGCTTTGGGATTTTCTGGGCTGCTGCGCTCTATCTCTACCTGCGCGCTCGCCGGTGTGCGAAGCAGGCGACGATGGGCCGGCATGGGCCTGGTCGCGAGACTCGGTGAACTCGGTGAAACGATGAGTGAAGCATCTCTACTTGTCGCATGAAATGTTGATTTCTTCGAGATTTTCTTCAATAGATTTTGATTTTGATTTCCATATGTTGATTTCTTCTCGGGGGAAAGGGCTTGATTTCTTCAAGTCCTTTTCGGGTTCCCCCGTTGTTCAGATATGGTCCTGGAATGCCCCCGGACCCTGCACTCCACCGTTCCCGTTCGCTTCCACCGTGCTCTTCCCTGTTCGGGTCCATGCCGTTGCCGTATGCGAACACTTCGCGCCAGGGCCACTTTGATGCCGGCACCAAGTGGCATGTGATCTTCCACTGTGTGGGCAATTTGGCCAACTGCTTGTCGCTGGGCTAAAACAACGCCAACTGTTTGGTCACATGGCAGGAGGATCACATGGCAGGAGGCCAAAGGTTTGTGCCACCATTTCTTGGGAACCTGTGCCGATTCTGCAACACCGATCCGCATAGCAGTTTCTTATAGTTTCTTTCTCGCACAAGATTACAATTTCAACTTATATGATCCAAGTCAATCATTTTAAGATGTTTCTCCTCGAACAGGTTTGCTTTTCTTCCACCGGTCGGCACACACTGAGGTTTTATCCCGGTCTTTTACGGGTGTGACGGGCCGCTGAAAAAAGGCCGCCGCAACGCGAAGAAGCGGGCGATTTAGTGTGCACGCTGGGCTTGCAGGGGCTGGGAGTGTGAATGAACCGGAAGTGATTTCATGATGTGCATCCCCCGACTGACCAATGAGCCGTTTCAAGTGAAGACCTGAACCTGGAAGACAGCAACACACCCGTGCAGGACCTCAAAAATCATGGAAGAAGAGCTGTTTGGCCCCCATGTCCAGAGTGTATGATGCCCAACTTAAGTGGAAGAAAGCAGCCGAAAGGGGCATAGAAAAGCCCTTCGTAGTTCCACCAGGAAGGACGCCTCCTTGGTGCTAAGGTCGAACGCCCCGAGCGCGCGCGGCGCTTCATGGAGCTGGGTGCGTCCGGGCGACCGGCGGAAGAGGGAACCAGAAGGATGACGGATGGCGGATGGCGGACGGCGTTCACCGAACTCATGGAGTTGAAGTAGTTCACCGAACTCACTGAGTTTTTATGTATACATTTTTTTTTTTTGAGTTCAATATTGTGATGGTCAAAATAGAATAACATGACATTCTTACTCCCTGCGCCAGTACCCCCTTTACACGTACCCCGAAACGGGGGAAAAAAGAACCGGTAGCGAAAAGAAAGGACAACGGTGGCGGGCGAACGGCCGACGTCTCCGACCGGGACGTGACGGGACGTGGACTGGGCTGTACAGAGAAAGGTGGTCATTCTTACCATACCAGTAGCTCTACCATTGGTTCCTCGGTCCTGATGTGGGCCACGGCCGATCCCACGAGCTCCAACAGCCACCGGGTCGACCTGCTTGGACGGCCGACCAGTCGAGGTTGCAAACCGGTCTAGAGAAGACTCGCTTCTTGGAAAGGCGAGTGACTTGGAGGTGACGAGGTACAGTGCGTTGGTACGGTGCGTTGGTACGGTGGTCCCAGCTCCAGGTGCGCTTTGTTTTGGGTGGTGCGGCCCCGATTGAATTGCTGGTTGGTCCATTGTTTTGATGGTTTCATCCTCAAATCCAGCGTCTCTGGTTTTCTTGGAAGAGTGTGGGCAGCAGTCAGGGCCGGTGAGAGAAGCTTGGGATTTCTTGGTGCAGTCTCACGGGGTCTGTTCTGGGGCGCAAGGAAGTAAGTAAGAAAAGGTCGGGGATGGGTCAAACATAAACAGACAAAAGATGCGAAAGAATCTCGAGGCAGACCTGTTTGTTCATGGTCTGGGGGTTGAACCCCCCAGCGTTGATTTTTGGTGGACTGATCTGGGTCGCATCCCCTGCCTGCAGATGAGATTCCATGAGAGAATGCTGAACAAAAACGGTTCCAGGCAGCTTCTTTCAGGCTGATCATGTTCTTCCTAGTTCTTCCTTCCAGGCTCTCATCCTCCTGCCACGTGTGACCAGGCGTTTGCCACGGCTTCCACCGGCCAGAACCCACTTCTGGGAGGCGACGGGTCGTCAACATATCTGAACCAATTGGGCCAAACTGAACCACGTTGAACCACCAAGAATGCATGGCAATGAAAGAACCCTTGAGGGTTTCCCGTGGCAAGAGAAAGGTCCAACGCCGCAGGTCTTCCGTATTTGGTCACCGACCCCATTTCCATACGGAAGGACGAGATAGAAGTGCTCCTCCCATTTCAGATGTGGTGAATCATGGTGAATCCTATCCATGAGGCGAGGCGCGGGATGCGGTGAATCTGCCATACGGAGCAGTCGAAGCAGTCGGAAGCTCCCAGAGCTTCCTGCATTTCCGACCGCCACACCAGGCGAAGTCGTCCCTGCAAGCAGTTCGCGATCTCTACGACTGCCAGGGGACCCGTGAGGACCTAACTGCCGGGCCCGAGAGGTGTCCGTGTTGCGGAGCTCCTACTTGTGGGAAAAAAGGTGCACCATATCTGTTAAAACCTTTGAAGACACCCCACTGCAATCCAGGTGGACCGTTCGCTTGTTGGCGGCTTCCTTGTTCCACGGAGCACGGGCTCCACGGAATCCAGGTGGATGTTGGTTCTCCGCCTGTTCTCCGGCTCGCCCGGGAGAGCGGTGCCGTGTAGGGCCTTTAGGTCGAAGTGTCGGTCGTTTCCACAGCCCCAATCAAGAGAGGCTCTTAGTAGCTCTAGATCCTTTGTTGCACGTGGAACTTACTTCACTCACACTGACATACTAGATCTACAAGTAGACTGAGGCTATGCAGCGGATCCGTTGATGGCCTGCCGGCCAGTGGAAGGCCGCCGGTTTTGGCTGTTGATTCTCGCAGATGGTGCGAGCCAACGATGGTTCGGAGTCAGATTTGGGGGCATCCTTCAGTCAAACTCAAGGCCCGAAGATTTCGAGGTCCGATGGTCGTTTTGAAGTAGAAGAGAGTGCACAGTGAATTAGTGAGTTGGGAAGCGCACACCAAAAGAGTTGGGAAGCATCTTCGCAAGCAAGAACTGGAATTAGGTCCCCAGACTGGTCCCTAGACATGTGTCTTTGCTGCTGGTCACTGTTTGCACGCTGTTCCAACATGTTCCAACTATATATTATATAAATATAGAGAGAAGCCGTTTTCCGGGATGCAGGCTAGGTAGAAGCCGTTTCCTTTCAGGCTAGGTAGATGTCTTCAGTTATCAGCTCTGTGGGAGGCATTCCTCATCGATCGAACGTACATCGGACCCGTCTTGCTGGATCAAGGGCAGAAGGAGACAACCTAGAAGCCGCCCAAAAAGCAAGAGAACCAACAGAAACTCACAAGCTACGGAGAATGTCCATGCCGCAGATCCCTTACGTGATTTTTCAGGACTCTCGGAGAGACGTCTGCAGCGATTCGAGAAAGCCGCAGCGCACATCTGACCGTCCGATTTGTTTGCCTGCCATTCCCAGAGAAAAGGTGGCTTGGCATAGAGGAGTGAAGTCTGATTTCTTGGGGCTTTCTGGGGCTTTGTGGCTGGAACACCCGGTCGCTACTGCTAGGGCCGGGTAGACACCTAGCATCTTCAGATCTCGTCTTAAAAGGTCATGTGAAGACTTGACTGTTGTGCAACGAAGCACCCAGATCTCGTCATTTTGCTTTCTTCCTACTTGGGTTTACCTGCCCTGAAAGTGGCCGAAAATGATGTTGTTTGGAGACTGAACTTGTCTTCAAAGCAGCAAGAGTTAACTTCATCAGTTCTCTTCAGGAATATTACAGGGAACGTAGAACAGAACGGCCTCATGATAGCAAAAGCTCAACATTGCTACTCATCATTGCTCAGTTTTTCGTCACGAGTTTACAGATGCGACATTGCACATGGAGTGTATCACATCTGAGTTTGTGACAGCATTACCGGTATCATTGTCCCGAGTTAGTGATGGATTGTTTGGGGCATGAGAATGAAACAAGCTATTTGTCACTAGTGCTTTATATGGGCGTGGGAAAAGACTTGAACGGCCAAAGCCACCTGCGTAATCAGCCACCTGTGGCAGGTTTATTTGGGAATCACCCCAGCCGCAGTTCAGAATGTCCATCGGAGAATTTCATGATTTTCACCATGGGCAGTTTAACCCACAAGGGAACGCGGAACGTCACAAAGGCATACAAAGGCCATCTATCTAGCCACCCGCCCAGGTTTCCCTGGATCCCCATCGGGGCATCACCTTTAACCCATTCGTTTGGTGGCTTGTCCTATCCAGTTTCAAAGCCATGTTTGTCTTGCGATGGTTTCTCGAAAAGGACATCAACATGGAAAAAACATATTTGTTCGAACAAACCATGACACACCATCGCTTTGAACAAATTAAATTATCGCTTGTTCAGGACAACAAGCAACTGGGCTTTGAATTTCCCAGTAATACCCTTTTTCCGCCCAGGCCGGCCATGACGCACTCAGAGGCCTGGGAGAGGCTGAGCGGCTCCAAGTCAGGTGCGGCGCTCGCGAACGAAGAGAATTGGTGACTCTTTGAGATCTCCAAATCGATGGTTGACAAGCTTTTTTAGAGCATTCTTTGAAGAGAAGTCAGATGTTCTTTGATGATCTTTGATTCTGTTTTTGGCCAATCTCCCTTCATCGTGGTTTTCCTGCCTTCTGACCCGAAGGCAGGCAACACGACTGGCCGCTGACGACTTCAGGTTGTGACATGCTCATGGAGCGCCTGCACCGGACCACGCAGACCTTCAGTCCATCGTCCACGGACGGGGAGTCTCAGAGAAGCACGCGCGGCGCGCGACCGCGAGTTTCGCCGAGCGCTTGGAACACGAAACGCCGGATGCCCAGGACGAGGAGTTCTTTTCTTTTTTGGCAGAAGACCATGAATCAATCTCTTGTACGGAGTCTTTTTTCAAGATCTTTGTGACAGAAAATCGACATCCTTTGCTAAAGACGTGAAGGGCCTCAACGTGAAGGGTCTTGGCAACGACCATACGCCTTATATAGACCCCTTGTCATAGATAGAACCACATAGAACCCACTCTCATGGGAAAAAAACGGTGCAATCCTATCTGTTGGGGACTGCACGAACCGACTCGGCTCCGTCGACCGTCGCCGCCCGCGGTGACCGCCCTCGGTCGAGGCTGGACAGATGATTGTGGGCCCGCGGGCGCAGCTGGAGCTGACGCCTCAACGAGGGATATAAGGGTGGAAGACCGGTGGGACCGCATCCAAAAGGTGGGCGAGACTTGGTTTCTCATGGTTTCCCATGGTTTCCTCTCAAGTCTAGAGTCTAGAGATTCTAAATTCTAGAGGTCCTAAGCCCTAGGCAGGTGCTCTTTGCTCAAGGTGCTTGGTAGGTGGGTGTCTTTTGGGATTGCAGCTACTGTTTGCTTGAGACACCCAGGCCGCCATATACCAGATGTATGGTCGACCATGGAAAGGTGCAGACGCTGTGCAGGGTGGTGCTTAGAAAGGGGGGACTCGGCCGCTTCTTGCATATACTTTCTGATGGCCGGGGTCAATGAGTAAATGTGAGTGAAGTCTTGGGGTGTAGAGCTATAACGCAAGATATTGCAAGGGGATTATTCTTGGAGAACAACGCCCTGAGACCAGCGTTTCGATTTAGAACAAACGAACATGAATGAAGCACTTCAAGGCCACACTGGGGAGAATTCTCAATGTAGCACACAAACACTTACATTACATCGATCCCATCTCATGTCTTGTTTCTGCCATGCCTTTTATCACGGGTGACGAATTGCCCAATGCCCCTCGCACAAGCACCTTTGGCCCGTGGCCGTACACGCGCTGTTTGAACGGCAGGTGGTGGATAGTGGACGCTTTGGTCGCTGGGCCATCGGCCATGGCTCGGGCAAGAGCTACTGGGAGCGGGGCTCAGGAACTTCCTTCTTTGTGAATGGGACACAAGGGGGAGGGTTCTTGGATATTTGGGGAATAATACAGGGATGATGTGTGCGGGCGGCTTCTTAGCCAACTGTAATTAAGCGTTCAGTTCACGCGGACGTGTGAAGGCTTTGATCATAGCGGACCCCGACCAAAAATGACCAAAATGGATTACACACATCGCAGTCGCATGAGAAGACGCCGAGAGTTCATCATGCTTTTTCGAAACGACTGGGGGTATTGACAAACAGATATGTGTCACATGGCTCCTGCTCGTTGTTGTGGCCCCTCCTGTCTTCTTCTTGTGGCTGGTTCAAGCATTTGGCTTCGTGCAGCTTCGTCCACATGCAAATCAGACGCCGGAAGCACAAATGAAGAGGCAGAAGTTCATGGCCAAGAGCTGTTCAAGAGGTGGATTGGGCGATCATGGCGAACGTATCCATGCAGCTGTTGAGATCTAAGTATACATGTGTATACGGTTACCATTGTATACCATATATACTATATACTCTCACTGCTCCTTGAACCCTTGAAAGGAGGGAGAAGGGGGGTCCTCGATGTTGCTCCGCATGCACAGCAGCCCCAATTATTTCCCTCATTGGATCGTCCTGATCTCTCAGCACATCTCAGCACTCGTCTATAACTTATAAATGAATATCATTGAACTTATAGAGATTCTCGGAGACTGAAAGAGCTCCACTGAAAGACCTCACTGGGCCGGTCAGTGCTTGGAAGGCCCTCCCAGTGCTCCCCATTTGTTTGTTGTTCCTTCCCACCTCGGTTGAACTGGTGCCATGGAACTCAACACCGGTGCCCTGCCGCCACCGGGGTCGGCGGCCTACAGCACCCGGCACTCCTGGCCCTCGTGGAGGCGCTTTGCGCGGCATTCACGGCACGTGAAGGAAGGAGGAGGAAGGTGAGAGGTGTGGGTGGAGTATGCTATTTGTTAAGTAGTTGATGATGTGGATCATGCCGTGGCAGTTGACATCTGGAGAGATCACGAAGAGAAAGACCACAAGCCCATCAACGTGACCCACAAGACCCCTCTTCCAAACCTCCAGAAACATCTAAGGGCCTCCCAAATCCTCCAAAGACCTGCCAATTTCACCTCCATCCAACGGAGTCGCCTTCCTCCCTGCAGGTCGAGTTCCTCGGTTCGCGTTCCTGGAGCGACTGCATCTCCCCACCGCCTCAGCCTCACCCTCAGCCTCTGCTGTGCGCGTTGGTTCCGCCACCGCGCGGGGCGGTGCCACCGCGCGGTTCCAGAGGCGGAGGCGGTGGAGAGGCTGCGCGGGGTGGATGAGCCGCTAAGAGCTTTGGGCCGAAAACACGGACAGAGCGGGGTGTGGACGGTGTGGACCGATGGGAGGGTGGCAAGAAGCCACATTGAAGCCAGCAGAGTTTGACTGGTTTGACGATGCATTCCGAAGAGAGTGGATGTTCAGTGATTGTTCGTGTCCTTCTCCGTGTTCCATAAACATGCACATGTCCGCACATGTCTTCATGCCAACATTTGGATTCATCCCCAACAAACAAAGGTGATGATGTTGAAAGACTGAAAATCCAATTGACTTGAGAAGAGCTGAGCTCCCCTTGTTTCACCCAGACTAGACCCACAAGCTGTGATGCGCCGAGGAACCTTGGTCTTCCCGAAGCTTGAGGGAGCTCGCTGCATCGCCCTGGTGAAGGGCCAAGTGACACGAAGAGAAGAAGCCATTCCGTGCCGTGTGCACTCGGAGCCTTCGGAGGTGGCAAGTGATGGCAAATTTATGTTTCTCTCTTTGTTTCTCTTTTTTTCCGGAAGAACGGTGCAAGAGAAAGACGGCCACTGGCGAACCAAAAGCCTGTGCAAAGTTTCAAAGTGCATGTGTTTTTTTAAAGCTTGGATTGGTGCGATGTGCAGACTGGGTAGATGGACCGGGATGTGTGTGGGTCCTACCACGGCTTCATGGAACCATGGGAGGTCATGGGCTGTGTGGGCTCGGATGAACTGGAGGAGGCTTGCTCATCCTATCAGGAGCCTTTTTTGCCACCTAGACCCTCACCCATGTTGGACGGGGTTGCTGGCTAAACGTGCGTGCCCCTTTTGAGGGACCTCCAAACCGGCCGCCTCTTCCGGCCAATCAACACCTTCAAACCCGTCAAACCACGTCGTCGTCAAACCACGTCGTCTACTCGCTCCTCGGCTTGCAACTCGTCGGCCACATCTAGGCTGGACGCATCGCTGCTAGTAACACGGGCATGGCTGAAGCTACTAGGCCATTTAGGCCATTTCTTCGTTCGGTTGGAGGGTTGGCCTAGGAATGCTTGCTGGGGGATGCCTTCAACTCCGCACGCTGCATGTGTGGTCCGCAGCTGCGCAGCTTCATCGAAGACGTGCTGGCGAGCTCCGCCTGTTCGGACGCCATCCTCTTGCCGCCGGGCCTGCACCGGAGTGCCAGGGTGGTGTGTGGCCCAAAAACCATCCATGGGTGGTGTGAGTGGTGTGAGGGCACGATTCTTTTGCGCATTGGGAAAAGAAAGGTGGTTCGGAGAAGGGTGGCACAGCCCGAAAAACATGCCCTACTTGTAGCAGAAGAGTAGGAAAGTAAACAGTTGGGTTCCAAATTCTCGGTTTTGGAAGGAACACCGATTTCACATAGCAGAAGATGGATCAAGCATATTCGCACGTGTTTGGTCAGTTTCCTCCCAGCGCAGTGATTCAGGGTGTTTTTCTTGCTGCATTCACTAATTATATACGTGCTACTAGCATCTACTACTGTAGCATCTACTAGTGACTGCCTGTTCGTCATGCTTGTAGTTCACGGACACTGGGAGTTCCCCCGCCAACCCAGGTGCTTATTTGACCCCCTATGCTGATCCACCATGGCTGAGGTATTTGCAGGGTCAAGAAGGGAAGGGCATCGGCTTAAGCAACAAGCTCCGAACATACGTCTTGCAAGACGAAGAGGGCCTGGGTGAGGAGGAAGCGAGCCTGAGGCAGATTTAGATGATTTGTGCTGTGAAGTTCTTGCTTCGGGGGCAAAAGAATCTGAATACACTAGTATACACGCACTCAGTAAATTATTCTTGAAAGGGAAACACATCAGAAGACCACTGTCTTGTTCGGGCCATTTCTCTATTCCATGCCACATGCTGTAATCCTTCTTTCCTCACCAGCTGAGAGAGTGGGGGATGTGCAATGGACCACACTGTTGACCACACTTTTGACTCACATCAGTTGGTTTGATGCGACTTAGAACCTCTTCAGCCCATAGGAGCAGTTCCAGTTTTCTCATGAGAACTGAACCATGTTTTCATGCCTTTCTTGTCCATGGCTCCAGATGTTTGTTTTCTTGGGTGGATTTGATAGACCTGTATATATAAGAGAACGTATACACAAGCGGGAGAAAAGCTCGCCGACAGCTCCGCCTAACTTGACTACCGTCCACCTAAGGGAAGGTTGATGGAAGTAGATTCGAGAAGAAAAGCAGGATGTGCCCCATATAGATCTAGCCCACTTGTCTCACCAACGAAACACTCCTCCACACCGAGGAACCTCCGTATCGGCTTTCCCCCTGACCTGCGACGCTACGACGCCGCGCGCGTGGCGCTGGACTTTCTCCAGGCACGGGACAGTCTACATGACACGAAATGCCGCCCAAATTGCAAACATAGACATGCAGAGACCATCTCCTCCCGGTGTTTTTTTTTTCTCTCTCTCTCTCTCTCCCTCTCTCTCTCTCTCTGTGGCTGGCTGGCTGTTTGTTCTGTTCTGTTCTGTTCTGTTCTGTTCTGTCCTGTCCTGTCCTGTCCTGTCCTGTCCTGTCCTGTCCTGTCCTGTCCTGTCTGTCTGTCTGTTCTTCCTGGAAACTGTGTCTCTCCCTGTGTGAACTCTCTCCGTGTTTCGTAGTCTGCCGTGACATCCAACATGTCCTCTCTCTGTCACTCCAGGTCTCCAGCGTGATCTTGTACACCAGCAGCCCTCGGAAGCTCCAGGGTCTCCGTCACCTCGTCGCCGGCACTGCGGCCTGGTGCCCAAACACCGGCCGCTGGCTGGACCGGTCCGAGGTCGAGCGACCAGCGGAAAAGACGGCGGGAGCTGCGGGTGGGATGGAAGTGGGAGGCACGAGGATTGGATGAGATCTGCATGGAGATCTGTATGTTGGATGATTGGACGATTGGCGATTGACAGGGGACATGAAGTTTGCACGCATCACAGGACCACAGGGCCAGTGCCTGAAATTCAGTGTGCAAGTTTCACTTTTGTGCTTTCATACGTTCACCCGGTTTCAAGTTTAAGCTTATCGTACCCAGCCAGCAAAACCAGTTGACTCAATGCAGTGACAGATCAGTTGTATCCTGAAGTCCAAACGGTCTCAGGATCGGGGGACACCGTTCTCCAGCCGGCCTCCATCCCCAAGTGGACACGAGGTGTGCAGAGGGCGGCGGGGGCCTGGGCGGGGGATTCACCAGTCAGCATTTGTTGTCCTAGATGAGTTTCCCCGCAAATGTTTGCCGAGGTTCTTCAACTTTGCCTCTCCTTTCTTCGGTGTTTCTCCAGCAGCGCCGCCTGCCAGGAATTGGCCACACTGCGCCGAAGCAACTTAGAGAAGTTCTTGCCAAAGAACCAGCCTCACGCTGGGGACACCCAGAACTCCGAACCGATGCTACCGGTCAGGCTCGTTCCAGCTTGCAGCAGGGAACGACGATGTTTCCACTGCCATGAAGGAGGTTCACGTCTCGCACACACGTCTCGTAACCATCGTTGGCACATGGACTGCACATCAAACGAAACCTGGATTGGCGTGAATGTTTTGGATATCCTTGGATCCTCTCCTGAGCTGCGGGGAGGTTCCAAAGGCCGGTTCTTTCCAGCTTTTTTGCTGCTCTCTGCCGCCGAGGAGAACACCTTCGCCCGGATCTGGGGCCGTTCGGATCCGCCGTTGTATACGGGGGAAGTGGCCCAGCAGTCACCGATGGTTTGTACATGTGCGGAGACTCAGGGGGTGTGAAAGGGGCTGTTGTTGCTGAATGTGTGAGCTGGATCTACTTGCTCTCCGAACTGGCGGGGGCATTTGGGCATCCTTAGGATGCTTAGGATGCTGACATTTATGTTTCGAGAAGCATTCGGTCGGGATTCTTAAGGCAGTTGCGAGGGAGTTCTTTTTTGGGGGTGCATGGTGAGAGATTGAAGTCTTTTTGAGGGGAAGTTGAGGTGAGTTGCTGGATATTGGATGGATGCACCTGCATCATGGTGGTATTTTAACCAGACAGACCTGCCCCTATCCTGAACCAGGGCAAGGAGACAAGTCCAACATCCTGGATCCTGGTTGTGTTTTCGGGACGGGAAAAAAACAGTGTTCTTGCAGGTGGGTGGGTGGGCCAGACCTATCTTGGTGATTTTAGGTACCAACTCTACGGCCCAAACCCCTTGTTCGCGATTCTTTGGAACTCCTTGGGAGCTCTGGGGCGGCAAGCACCTGTGGAGCTCCTTCTTCGCTGCTTCGGTGTTTGGTCGAGGTTTCGACCGAGGTGGACACCCCAGCCATACCCGAGACCCCCGCACAAGGGAGCCAGAAACATCTGGAGACTCACTCCGCTTGAGATGACATGGCTGGCAGTTGCATACAGAGCAATAATCTTGCAGGACAGGCCCACCAGAAAGCAACAACAATGACAACAAGAACAAGCACAAAGTACAAACAACAACTGCAGCCTCGTTAACCGTTAACACGCATCTTCTCACTTTGTCTCTACCCCTGCCTAGAAGCAAAAGCTGCCGCCCTGCGGTTGTTTTGTGACCCCTGCGAGTAGTAGTAGTAGTAGTAGTAGTCGTAGTCGTAGTAGTCGTCGTCGTCGTCGTCGTAGTAGTAGTAGTAGTAGGAGTAGGAGTAGGAGTAGGAGTAGGAGTAGGAGTAGGAGTAGGAGGAGGAGGAGTAGTAGTAGTAGGAGGAGGAGGAGGAGGAGGAGTAGGAGTAGGAGTAGGAGTAGCAAGTAGTAGTGCGGTTACGCCATTAAAATCTTTGGAGGGCGGCCCAGGGTTAATCCTCCCGGAGGTAGTGTATAATTCGTATTCTGTCCGTATGTTTGGGGGCGACGGGCGGCTCCGCATATTTAAATGTGCAGCTCCTTCATCCTTGACAACACGCCAAAGCCTACTGCAGCCCCGTGGTTGTTTTTGGGCCTCCCCTCCAGAACAACACTTCAAGTACCAAAAAGCGGACCAACCCAGCCAGACTTCAGCGAAACAAACCCAACGAGTCCAGCTACTTACGATCAACATTCCCTCACTTCTTTGAAGTTCGGCGGCCGTTTTTTGATTATTAAATCAACAGCAGCAGCAACAACAACAAGAACAAAGACAACAATAACAAACAACAAAAACAACCAGTACAAATACAGATTAACAACAACACACACAATATAATATATATATAATATGGGTATTTCCCACCACTTCTCGGTTCCCGACCGCATCCCTTTCGGAACCGCTGCCGCTCGCCGCAACCACCGCAACCCCGGCCTCGCCCTCTGAGGCGCTGGAGTCATGAGACGTTGACGGCCGTCGGCGTGCGTCCTGTGAGTCGACTTGCAAGATGTGAGTCGACGAAGTGCTGGGTGTTCGATGTCCGGCCAACGAATAGGCACGTGAGGGATGGGCTGAGTGTTGAAGGTGAAGAGGGTGAAACTTTTGGGGTGAAGAGATTGGGTATAGGTAGTATAGGTATGTATAGGTCGAAGGATCATGTTGTCCAATGAATGACTTTGGTCTGTAAAGACAAAGTGCGCAAAAAGCGACAAGCGCATGCCAAGCAATTTCAAAGCAAACTCATCTCTCGCCACAGTCACCTAGAAGTTTTAGGTTTCACGTCAGCTGCAAATGGTAGCCTGGCTATTTTTAGGTCTCACAGCATTGCAAAAAGGACTCGGATTTCCGAGCGACCCGGGTGAACTTCGGCAGGGGTGTGGTCGCTCCGTACTGTGTGTTCGATGCCTGAAGAAGGGTCTCGGTAGCTGTTGATTGACAAGCTTCCCAGATGGAGATCTTTCGCACCTTTGTTTGGAGGGGTAGTCAGCCAGCAGTCAACATTTGGTGAAGAGAAATAGTAGGACCCCCAGATTCACAGGTACAACCACAGAAATCCTTCAGAAGTCCTGATTCACATCGATCACAGATCTGTGCAGCTCCGAAAATTCACAGATTCACCGGTGCCTTCCCCAGATCAGTGCAGAACCCGGTTGCTCCGTGTGCTCCGTGTGCTCCGGCCAGGGCCGAAGTCGCAAGACCGGGATGAGGACTTTATGTCGGAGTACCTGGAGAAGCAGGCGGGAGAAGGACTTTGATGTGTCCGATTTCTACGTGATGCGGTGAGAATGACGCAGAGTTCGAAGTGAACAGGCCAAGAAATTGGAGAAAAACACATGGGGGCACCTGTCACATGTTCAGAACATGTTTCTTTTGTTTATTTAATAACACAATTTTTTCCCATGTTTCAGGCCTTTCTAACGAATACTTTTGGTCGACGATGGCTGTGTGACTCTTGTGGTGGTGTTTAGGATCTTGAACCTCTGGAGTTCTAAACTAAACAACATGCTGACCATGCATGTTTCGAGAGTGAAGGCTTGATCATGCTTTCCATGCGAGATCTTTGGACAGGCATAACGAACAAATCATGGAGTTTTGCTGTAATGATGGAGTTTTCCTCGTCCCGCTGGACCTGAGCGACATCTAAATCTGAATCCATTTCAGTGACCAAGACCACTTGCCTTTACCTTCGAATCGGTGCGCGGGCCGAACCATCGATGCCCGTGACCGAACCATTGATGGTTCGGCCCATGTTGAGAGCGGATGAGCGGGTGTTTTTCATGTCGTTGAGATCTGCCTTTGAAGAGTGGGTTTACTGAAGTTTCATCACAGTTTTTTTCAGATGTCGGCAACCATCATCCACGGGGGCCCCAACTGGAGGATCAACTCTTGGAGGTTTGCCTTTCCAGGCTGTGATCGAACACCTGCTCCACAAGAGACAAGGGCTGCTTGGACATGCATGGGGCAGGAAAGGAACCAACGCTGACGTTGGCCAAAACCTAATCCACTTCATGCACTGTCTTCAATTCCATGTAGAAATTCACTCTCACATACTTTCACTACGTTCATTCTGTGATCATGTCACTAGACATGTGAGATGAGAAATGTGATGCCGGAATACATACAAGGTACTACAAGGTTGTTTTTTTGCCCCTTTTTTGGAGCAAATACATAGGAAAGATCTACATATATAGGAATTCATATATAGAAAGATGGGTTCTTGGGTCGCTCGACCATCCCTCCACCACGAAACGCACGAAACGCACGAAACGACCATCCCACCGTGTCTTGGCTCATGAAACAATTCGTCCATCCCACTGGGCTCACTCAGCGCAGTCCCCGAAAGCTCACCCTGGTCTATATGATGTGGAAGGGGCATATAAAAGGCAGACTCCCAACCGGTCTTGATCGTCTTGATCTATTTTCCTTCCTACCGGGGGGGGGTTCAGACTTCAGAGTCTCCCTATTCTAAGACACACCCTTTCGTCACATCCGTGTGCAAAGCTTGCAGCAACCCATCCTACATGTCCATCGCAACTAGGCGGTACGGCCATCGCTACTTCGGTCGCACACGCCGCGACCGGTCCCGACGTCGCGGTCTGAGGCGTTTGGAAGAGCTGATGGAACACGCGACGTCGGCGACCCGGTGGGGTGCTGAAGCTCGAGGAGTGTCGACTGAGTACGAGTAGCAAGTAGCAAGTAGTAGTAGTAGGAGAAGCGCAGGTGTTACTAAGGAATTGTCCAGTGGCAAGTTGTTACTGTGGTGTTTGGAACATCTTGGAAGTCCTGCTTACATGGCAGGTGTCCAGCTGAACCTTCTACTCCTCCAGCTCCGACTGTGTCTGTGAAGGAGCAGGTGGAAGGGCAGGGTATTCACTTTTGGAAGCTTTGCAGAATGGTTCAGTTGGCTGAGATATGGGGTGTTGATGGGTGTGGTAAGTGGACGATCCCGCTATTTTGATCGAGCATTTCCGGCTGAAAGTGGACAAGCAAAACACAGAACGTCATGTACGTACTGGCTGACGTGTTGTATTTGTTAATATTTGTACTGGCTGATGATTTGTGTATTACTTCTGGCCAAGTACAATACTTCGTCATTTCTGGCTGATGAAGTATTAAACATGTTCTCCCATATGTGGGGTTCTTGTTCCGCACCAATCCATCAGCCAAGAAATCCAAGCCGAACGAAGCGAACACTGCGACCGTGACCCACCAGAGGCACCCAAAGAGGTGAGAATCTTGTCCGGAGACTGAGAAAGGCGACGGATGTTTAAGGAATCTGTCGCCATTTGTATCCATTATCCATTGGTCATTTGTATCCATTTGATGGTGAACGTCAAGAGGAACCGGGCGTAGTCTCGTACCTCTGCACATGATGCGCTGGGAGTTCCCGGGCTGAAGAAATGTCAACATTCGGATCTTCATGACTGGGCTTGCCACAGGATGTGGAAAGCACAGTAGGAGTAAGACATGGACAACGGATGCTTCAACGACGAGAACACATACAATATATCTATATATACATACACACCCAAATAGATGAACAGTAGATCCCCACTTAAAATGTGCTGTATTGGAAACCGTTTCTATCTATTTGGAAACCACCATAAGTATTATTTTTGTGCTGACAATCGCGATGATGACGAAATGATGATGATGATGATGATGATGATGATGATGATGATGATGATGATGATGATGATG